GAATTAATCCTAAAGTGTTGTTTTGCATCAGTGATCGCTGAGGATTCAGACTGAAGGGGCTTGAGGAAGCGGAAGGCGGAAAAGGGCAACGCTAGTCCCAGGTTTGATTGTGCGATGTAGGATTTCTATCCCTTTTCCTTGTGAGCCTGTTTTCAAAAGGGATTTTGGCCTTGAAAGTGTTTTAAAGAAAGGGATTGGTTTGCGAAAGAAAAATGTTTTAAAAACCATGACTTGTTAGTTTATGGAAATCCTTGGCTTGTCCTGTCCATGGAATCCATAGCTTGTCTAGTCATGGAACCTCATGGCTTTGTCCAGTCATGGGGCCCGCGGCTTGAGTAGTTCGTGGGGTCGTATTAACGATTTCAAAATGTTAATGAATGATTTCTTAAGCAAAGAGATCTTGTGAACTGGTAATAGAGTCTATTGCTGTAAGCCTAGATAGGATGCGGAGAGTGCATCCTCAGGAGCAGAACCCGAAACCGGTCCGGGTAGGCGAGGCACTTGGTTAGGTAAGTAATTTGTACTAATTACTTGCTGAAACCTGTAACATGGTTATTTTCAGTTATATTTCCTTTGAGAAAAATGATGTGAGATTCCGGCTGTTCTGTCGGGACTGAATGTCTTATTTTATTTATGTATTCAATCATTTATTCATGCGCTCATTTATTTTAAATATTTCAAATTATATCCTACTGGGCCTTTCGCTCACGTTTTATGTTTTAAATGTTAAACCCCTCCCAAGAGACTCGAGGAGCGGTGCAGGGTAGCTGGAGTTGCTACTGTTGGATCAAGTGAGGATTGAGTTTATCCTCTTGAACAAATGTAAGGAATTTGAGAAATTATGTAAACCTATTTAATATTGGATTTACTAGACTGTGGATGATGTCTATTGTAATTGATTATTTACATGTGCATGTATGTACGATACTGTATGTCCTGTGGGGTGGAGCCCTGTGTGTCAGAGGCTCCTGGATTATGTCGTTTATTTATATTTTTATGCAGTTAAGTGTGGGACCCGGTTGGGAATCTGCTTTATTAATCCCAAATTGAGTTCCACGTCACCCACCCCGTTTGGGGGGCGTGACACATGTATGTTATTATGAGATGGACACTTGTTTTATTAACTCGCTTGAGGCATATGAACTCCATTTATCTCATAATATTTGGTCAGCCAATTGGGCCAAATACCCTCTCTGAATGAATATTGGAAAATGCCCTTAGGCCTATTTGGTTTATATAGGCAGCCACCCTTTATTTTTAGATGATGCATGGGCATTTTGATGGGGGGGGCACCAATTTTGGAGAGAGGGAAAGACAAGGAGTCCAAAAACCTCTTGCCCTTCTTCTTTTGTTTGCAGCTCCCCCACTCACTTCCGGCCGGCCTATTGGCGGATTCCGGCGACCATGAACGACGTGTTTCCGCTACCCACCAGAATAGAGGTATGCCTAAATCCCAAATAAGAGTTTTTATGGCATTTTCGGATTTTTAGGCTAGATTATTGTTTTTTATCTTGTTTAGATCATTTAAAATCTAGCAATTGGTATCAGGGCCAACTTATTTGGGCTTAGAGCTATGTATTTTTGGATTTTTCAATTTTTAGTGGAAGAAAAATCCAAAATTTGAATCCGTATTTTGGCTCAAGGAAACGTTGTTTTGAGGTTACCCACTTCGAGTATGGCTTATAGGTGATGATTTTCTTGAGTTTCGTGGGTCGATATGGCCGGATTCAATACGTTTTAAAGCTTTAAAAATGGCCGGTTATGGGTTTTTAGAGGTCTGATTTTTAGGCCTTGTTGAGAAAAATTAATCCCATAATATGAAAGAGCACGAAATTTAGAGAAAAACCCCTTTAGAATCATCAAAATCAGAGTTATAGATAGGAAGTTATGCCCATTTGAATTTTCGGGTTGGAACCGAGTTTAAAACGGGTCTTTTGACCCATCTCAAGGTAGAAGACGATCAGAAAAGAAAAATAAAATAAAATAAAAAACGCGTCAGCGCTTGCATCTGGTCAGCAGCGCGTGTCAGCGTGCCTCAGCGCGCATATGACGTGCACAGCACCCACGTGGCGTGCGTGGGGCCCATTTTTTGACTAAATTCTTCCTTATTTGTGATTTTAACTCCGTTTTGACCGCCGTTTTCACTGTTGCGCTCCGTTTTCATTTCCTACCCAATTAAATTATTTATTTTGGGTTTGGGCTACCATAAAATCATGTTTTTAATGTTTTTATATTATTGGTTATATATTTTTATGGGTGGTTAATTCTCACAATTTTCAAACAAATTTTTTCTAGGCATTTCGTATACAATTTATTTGATGATTAATGCCATAAAATTTTAATTATGTTGTTATTATTATATGGCATATGTAATTGTGAGAATTCGACAATAGTGAATGTTTATGTACTCGTCTGTCGTGAGTCTAAACATGTCAAATTGTCCGCGTATGTTACGGAGCTCTCCCACAAAATTTAACATTTCCTTTTGAAAAAAATGCATTGGGATACACACACTCCTTACATGGATGCACATGAGCTACCAGAAAATATTTTTATTTAAATATTTATTTATTGTAATGATTTTCATATATTTTCTGGGTAGTTTTAATTCTCACTATTTTGAGACTTAAAATTTTGGGGCATGTTTGTTACTCCATATTATATGGTCATATTTCATTTGTTCTCCCACATAATTTGATATTTTGGTAAATAAAATTTAGACATAATATGGATGTTTGTTCAAATTTTAAAATGCTCATTTTGTGTTTAATGTTTTAATGCCTAATTATTTGTATAGGCATACATGGTCTCTTTTGTGTTAAAATGAGAATGAAAATTTTAATTAGAAGCTCACATGCTATTATAAAGCTTAAGCTATAAGTTTATCCATAATTTATTTATTATTGCTATCATTATTATTTGATATCTTATTTTATGTGAGTATCATGTGTTTTGATTATGCTATCCAAGTAGGAGAAAATTAAAAAAAAAAAAAAAAATTGTGGATTAGCATAATCACTAACTCACATACTATTATCAAATAATAAATTGTATGATTATATGGATAAACTTAATTTGTTGATTATGTTCCGAAAGCCCATACGGGTAATATAATTATCATATCGATAGTTTTATTGCTTAGTAAGACGCTTGAGTCTTGTTGGAGATTAAGCTTGTTGTCTTTATCCATGTATTTTGTTTACATATTATTATTTGACATTTTGTATTATATGAGTATCATGTTTTTGATTATGCAGTCCAAGTGAAAAAATATTGTGAATGATTATGTGTGGACTTGCATAATTCCTAAACTCATACTATGGTCAAATAATATATTGGAGTGTTAAGGATAAATGTATGTATTTACCATATTGCTAAGATCCATAAGGGCAATTAAATTATCCTATCAATAATTAATGGTTTTGTAGGATGCTTAGACCGGTGAAGGAAGTTTGTTGGATGTCATGAACCGTATAATCTTAACTATCCTATCGGTGGTGGATTGATGCATTTGGTTGTGATGTTTGATGAATTGTCCTTACCTGCGAAAGAGTCTTATTCTTACTCAACGGACTCTAGCACAAAATGATCATATTGGCTTGGATCATTGGGAAGGCTAAGTAAAGGACAAATTGCATGATCTTGTTTTACATGCCTATTCTAGGTTGCCCATGTTCTTTTCTTTAGCCTTGAGCAATCCTTACATCTCCGCTATCTTGACGTTAAATGGAACAAGCCATGATATATGGTATGAATCTCTTTATGAATATCTTAGTGATGAAATGGACATAACCTTAAGAATAGATGTGTTTTCTAACTCCACTAATGTGTTGAGAAACTCTATGATGAGTGTGAGTGTATGGATAGCACCAAGGCAGTAGCGTCTCAATTTTAAGGTGAGACAGTTACAAAAATTAGCTTTATAGAGAACGTTGTTGATAAATGCATATGTGTAAGGTCAGCGGGAGCAGTTGCATGTTTCTGTTTTTTATGTCGGTGACAACTTGCTCGCGCCTAATGATTCTGACCTGCTAGTTGAGACGAATAGCATGTCGCATAGTCACTTTGGTTTGAAAATCTTGAAAAAGCCCTCTTATGTTCTATGCATGTAGATTCTCCGTGACAAGGATAAGTGCATTTTCTAGTCGTCTTAGAGAACCTATATTGTTCTTGTTTCGAATAGTATGCATTCGTGTTCAACTAGTAAGCATTGTTTGTTAAAGTGACAAACTCTCAAAGGTGTAATGTCCTTATGGTGAAGAGAGATTAGATAAAACTATCCTTGTTGAAAAGTGTCAAATAGACACTTGTAGTGTCATTGACTGTGATGCGGAGTATGTGATGTATCGTGAGGCTATTTGTATGATGTAATTGTAAAAACTTGTTTCAGCATTAGGAGTAGTTCACTCCATTTCTAGACCAGCTGAAACTGTGTTGTGAAAGTTTCATAATAGTATATTTCTCTTAGAACACCAAGAGCATTGTCCGCTCAAGCATAATGATAGTGTGTTCTATTTTGTAAAGAGAAATTGTAAAATGCCTCATTGTTATTGAAAACACGCCTATAAACAACATGTTGGCAGTTCCACTAAAAGCTTACCTATTAGGTGTTTTAAGAACACGCATCCCACTCGGGACTGTAAGGAGCTTGTAGTTGTATTGAGTTAGTAGGAGTTTACTGTCATTTGTGTGTGACATGTTGTTATTGATAAGGATTACTTATGCCTCAAATAATACATGCATATTCATGGATTTGTCACTTTATGTGTGATGTTGTGTTGACACTTTTTAGTTGACAAAGTGACAAGTTGAAAATAAACATCTGGTTGTTAGTCTCTATCATTATTTTTTATCCATATATTAAAGTTGTCGTCATGCTTGGATGAATCTCTAACACCTGATTATGTATAATGATTGTATCATGTCGATACGTTATTATGCATGATTGTTTTGGACTTGTGTTTATTATGTAAGATTCTTAGTTGATGCTTATGTTGTGATGAGTGAATGTTTGTTGTATGATTATGTCGTCCAAGTGGGAGATTGTTGGAACATTTGTGTGGACTTCCATAATCATAATAATTCACTCTGTAATTAATTAAAGCATTTTATAGACAACTGTGTTAATGTGAATTAACACATGCATGTATGTTAAATATCAGTCTATTATGAGATGGACACTTGTTTTATTAACTCGCTTGAGGCATATGAACTCCCTCTATCTCATAATATTTGGTCAGCCCATTGGGTCAAATACCCTCTCTGAATGAATATTGGAAAAGGCCCTTAGGGGGGGGGGGGCCGACTTTGGAGAGAGGGAGAGACAAGGAGGAGTCCAAGAACCTCTTGCCCTTCTTCTTTTGTTTGCAACTCCTCCACTCACTTCCGGCCGGCCCATTGGCGGATTCCAACAACCGTGAATGATGTGTTTCCGCTGCCCACCGGAATAGAGGTATGCCTAAATCCCAAATAAGAGTTTTTATGGCAATTTCGGATTTTTAGGCTAGATTATTGTGTTTTATCTTGTTTAGATCATGTTTAAATCATTTTAAAATCTAGCACACCAAACATGATGGAAATAATCAAGGCATGGCACTAGGATCAGCTTGCATACCTGGTTCTGAAAATAAACCAGAAATGCTCGAATGGTTTCCCTGTAAGGTTTCGATACACCTTTCCACATAGGATGTTCTCCTTCCACAATATTATACCTGTCAAATTTCCCAACTCAGCATACGGTTACTCAACATCCCACCTTAGTAAACACCTATCAAGTACACAAAAGAAATTTACGATACAGTCCATGTAATCAACACTAATCACGACAAAGGATCATCACAATCATGGATAGCAAACTTGTCCCCCTGAAATCTGGACTATCCTTCATACAATAATTACATTTTTAACTAGGTCCCTTTGTCAATCAATGTTTTTAAAAAGAAGTATCAGCTAGAAAGCAATTCAAGACAGATCACTCTAGTACAAAATAGACAATCAAGGAGTACCGTAATCTAGCAGATCAAAATCATCAAACATATGGGCATACACACTCAGCAGAAACACATAAACGGGAGAATAAACATGCATTACGAGTGGCTCAAGCATTATTTATCCAAGACTTTACTTTGAACATGGAAAAGATAATATCTTTTCAGGCTACACAGAATCCTTTTTCCTAAACCATTTTCCACTCTACATATAATGCAACAATCAAGGTAAATACTTTATAATGAGAAATGGTAATACAAGATATTACCATTCTGATTTGGCTTCACGTGGATCAAGAGGCAGACGATGACCAAGCAGTCTCCGGACAGCGAGCGCCTCGGAAGTACTCTGATCAGACAGTCTCAAACATCTGGACCGTATATCTCCAACAGCAGGACCACCTAAAATGTAACCAAGAATTTGAAAAACCACACTCATTGTAAAGAAACATATACTGTATGCAACCAATACATACACATATACATATACACAAAAATGTCGAATTCATATAATTCTCATTCAATTAAGTCCACGAACTAAAGGATTCAGATTGAACAAGTACCACCAACTACAAAGAGAGAATTATTACCAAGAACGCGAACAATCTCAGCCGTGCTTCCTCCGTCGTCGGAAACAGGGAGGACATGAGCGACGCGGGTGGTGAAATTCTTGAGCTCCTCAACAACGCCATTGAAGGCGGTTCCACCTGCAAAAAAGCACCGTCATCGCGAGTCAAAACGTTTGGAGATCGAGCGACGAAAACGAATGAGGTCGAAGGGAATCGGAAAGCGGACCTGAGAAGACGAGCAGAGAGGGCTGGGAGGGGCCGGGGTCGGGATTGGAGGTGGAGGAGCAGCAATGGTTAGGGCTTGAGGAGGGAAAGGAAGCCATGGAAGGAGGTCTGAGAGGAAAAGGGAAGGGAAATTGGGGAAAGTGGAGGGGAAGAAGAAGGGAGTTAGAGAGACAAAGGGTGGGACCCAACCAATTGTCCGCCATATTCCCGCGTGTTTCCTAAAACCTCTGGCCTACTTTGCTGGAGATCCTTCACTCTCATATCCCAATCACGATTTCCTCTTTCTTTTTTTTTTTTGTCACATTTTTAATTGTCTTGAAAAAAAATATTAGTTTCTTTGGTTCATTTTATTAATTTAAATTTTTAATTTAAATTGAGATATAATATTTTTTAAAAATTTTAAATTATAATATAAAAAATTAAATGTGACATTTTTAAAAAATTTTAACTGTAAAATTTAAAATTAAAAATTTAAATCAATAAAATAAATGAGGTTTAAAAATAAAAAGTGATCCTCACAAGTCACAAACATTAATACAAACAATTCTTCCCTAAATCAAAAATAAAATAAAAAAACACATTGGTACAGTTCCACGTCAACATCCGAATCATTTTCTAAATATAACACAAATTTTTCTTTTTTCAAAAAAAAAAACATATTTGCCCCGCGTTTATTAACACCCTTCATCAAACTTTTCACACTAACACACTCGTTTTTAATAATATTTCTATTACAAAATTATGTATTAATAAAATTATCAGTATTTTAAAAAATTACTTATTACATAAATAATTTCAAAAAAATAATATCCTATTTCTATTAAAAAATCAAATACAATCTGATCATTTCCGTCAAGATCCGTCGAAAAATTAATGGGAGAAGCCCACGTGACCCCGTAACTTGGGGTATATGTGTAAAAACACATCCTTGGTTGATTTGGGGGTGGATTATATGGTGAAGAAGAGAATTTGGGGTTTTAATTGGGGGTAATTGCTCTGTAATTAAGAGTCTAAATTAAAATTTAGACAATCACATAAAAGGTGCAAATTACCCAAATGTCTCCACCATCTTCCCATGCTGACTCAGCATTAAAAAAAAACTCATGACAGAAGAGAAAAGAGAGCCACCGTCGATTTTGGCCACCTCCGGGTGACCCACCATGAATTGAGACCAGAGCCAAAGAGCCCATGCGCTTATCTACAAAACCCCCCTTACCTCACCGCCCTATTCGCCGTCGAACGGTTGAAATTTCAATTTGAAATTTCCGGCCACAACACCCTCCAATGCAAATTTCGGCACTGTCCGACGTCCAATCCTCTGCCAAGTGGTGTCTTTAGACTCCTCTCGTCGAGCTGAACAAATCCATAACAAGTTTGCCGTCATTGGTCGCTAGAATAGTTCTGACCATCTCCAGTTAGATTTCTAACAATTTCATCTTTCCACCAACAATCTGGATCATGTGGGCTTCTCCTGTTAGCTTTTGGACAGATCTTGACGGAAAGGACTAGATTGCACATGTTTTAAACGATTGGCAGTCGATTTGCTAAAAAAAATTCGTTTGGGACCAAACTGTCACTTACTAAATAGGTTGGGGACCATTTGTGCCAATAACATTAAAGAATATTCTCCGTATATTTCTTTTTATATTCTTTTTTCATATTCTTTTTTTTTCTTATTAGAATAATTATCTATAATTAATCTATTTAATCAATTATGCACATATATAATACCTATTAATGTTATAAAATAATATAGTATTTAACAAACTCGTAAGAAATAATAAATTAATAATATTAATTAAACACAAATTAATTTAATTAAACACGATCTTACATTAACTAAACAATTTGACATCCAAACATTACATTTAATAATAAAACATAAACATACACAAAAAAAACAATAAAAAAAAATACATCTCCAAACGGTCATTTAATTGTCTGAATTATTATTCCCTGAATTAGTATACTCCTCCCACAAATTATCAATTAATGCATTTTTAGAAGCGCAATGTAAGCCTCTTTATCCTTGATTTGTCCATGGCATTCAAGGAATTGTTGAAATCGGGTATTTTCATCTACCACTGTTTCAACTTCTGAAGATGTACCGGATTACTAATTATCAATGTTTTTTTTATGTTATATTTTATCATTGTACTAGTGTAAGTTTATTTAATATCTGTATCATTCATATTTTATGTTTGTTTTTTGTTTTACGTTTATTTTAATATTAGTCTAAAAGTTTATTCTAATTATTGTAACCTTTTGAAATTTAAAATTGGCATTTAATTTTTATAATTACATATTAATTTAGTGTTTTTTTTTTTTTTTTTACAAATGTTCAAATTAAACTAAACTCATTTAAAAATTTTAAAACTAGGATACTAAAAAAAAGGTTATTATTTTTTAGTAGCAAAAAGGGAACAATTTTGACCATTTTGTAAACTTGGGGTAAAAATTAGGACATAACAAATGCAAATGGGCTTATAAATTAACAAAAGAGAAAGAAAAAAAAACACACACACACACACACAATAGCGGAATTGCGCTTATGTGAACAGTAGGCGGCATATTTGCCGCGTCCAGTTTCTAACGCCTCATTCATTTTAGCGATTTAAGTTTTTAATTCTAAGTTTTTACAGTTAAAAATTCTTAAAAATGTCACATCTAATTTTTTTTAGTACAATTAAAAACTCTCAGAAAATATTAAATTCTAAATCTAAAAGACTGTAAACAACAATTTGCCGTGGCGCAATAGCACCTGGATGGAGTACAAACTGAGCGGCAAATCATCAATTTGTTGCTCAATTGGAGATGCTCTAATGACAATTAATGTACAAATCTTGTACTCCCCTACAATCAATTAAAATTACCAAAATCCTAAACTCTCTCTCAAGTTGGTGCATACCAACTTAGAAAATAAAAGTTATGGAGTGCGAATCATCGATAGCGCTCTTTAATGGGTTCACAGATCATCATTTTATTTTAAAATTAATTGTAAAAGCTCCCCATGAACTATACCCTTCGTAATACTTTGTCCTCCAATATTTAAAACGTAACATCTATTCTCCTGAATAATAAAATGTTAAGAAAAAAACCCCATCTGTTAGGTTTTCTAAACACAAATTGACATTTAATTTATTATTTTAAGAGTATTTTGGTATCTCTATAGTTTAAAATTTAGTTTGAATTTAAAATTAATTTCTAATGGTATTAGCATGACTTAATATTGCTTGCCAGTTTTCATTGCGGTCTGGTAGATGCTATGTGAGTAATGAATTTTCTTATAGAAAAATGAGACAAATACATCTTATACAGCATGAGTCTAAATTTTTAACTATTATTTTTTAATTTTTATTAATATTTTTTTAGTCAAGAGGTAAAAATTCAGCCTCATGTACTCTAAAAGTAAGTTCAATCATTTTTTATTTATTTATTTCATATGTCTTTAGGCAAGGTTTTATTTTGTGCCGATTGGCTCGCCAGTTGTGATGTCACTGTGAAGCATGGTTAATTTGCCGGCAACGTTTTGGTCACAAAGTCATGATGATCAGATATGTCACAAGCTACTGAAATTGTATTATATGCACAAGAAATGCATTTCTATTTGGAGGAGGACATCTGCGCCCTCTCTGGAAAATCATCCTTGTCCACAGTTATCCCCATTCCCCATACCACATCACATGCTACACTAAAAGAATAGCATTTTTCCAATGCACATCTTAAAAAACATAAAAAACAAAACAAATTGAACCCAAAGAAGAACAAAAAAATTATGACAAAAAAATTTGTGTGTATCTTCAATAAGGCAAGCTTTTAGAGCTTGTGCTGATCACCAAGGCCTTGAGCTTAGAAGACTCCCCAGCTGCATCGGCTCGCCTTGTTATCATCTCCATATTCTTATGCAAACTCTGTTTAACCAAACTCTTCATCATCTTCTTCCCTTCTTGGCTCGCCCTTTGATTCACAGGCGAGCCCATTCCAATCCTTCCCGTTTGCGGCCCAGAATGCGGGCCCATTTTGGCTTGCCTCTCATCACTAAACAACTGCAACAATTTTAGGGCCCTTTTTTGGGCTAGAGGACTTCCCAATAGAGCAACTTCCAAAAGCACGGCCACAATCCCTAACTTGGACATCTTCTCCCTTTGAGCGGAGCTTTGATGAGCCAAAATCATTAAAATATAAGCGGATAACTCTTGGCATTTAGGCTTGTCTTCCCATGTCAATATCTCTATCAAACTTTCCGGCACCATTGGACCGTTTTCCATGGCATTTTTTCCCATTAGGGTCACCACCAAATTCCCTAGGGTCGCGAGGGCTTTTTCCGAAAGTTCCTTTGTCGAGCAAAGTTTTAAAAATGTGTCGACTACTCCGTTAGAGACCAAAGGCCCGGCATTTTCCAAGACTATGGAGAGGTTGTACAAAGTGCCTAAACATGATTGTTTTGTGTCAATACTTGAAGTGGTTGACTCAAGTATGTTGATAATAAATGGGACAATTTCTGAGGGGGCTAGAGGGAAAGGTGTGTTTGCTAGTGAAGACAATGTCAAGAGAAGTTGTGAGAATTCAAGCTTGGTTGGCTCATCTAGAAGGTTGGTGTTCTTTGGTAGTTTTGATAGAATTCCTGACTCCAGCATAATGGCTTTGTTCCTGAAAAATAACAAATTGGGAAAAAGAAAAGTTAGACCAAGCTTTGGTTTTATAAGAATAAAATATTTATGGCGAAGTCAATAACGGCTTTGAAATCCTAGGGACTAAAGAAGTGTGAATTATTCAAAGTTAGATGAGAAACCAAAACTGCCCAAATGCATTATTGAATAGAATAAGGTAGCAATGAAAAATATATATTATAAGAAACGATATAAAAGGATTTGTGCAAGTCAACGAGATTCCAAGATTTAGATCTGTGTTGGAAAGTTGGGGTCAAAAAAAGACAGTTTAAAAAATTGCCCAAACATCGAAATGGAATCTGAACAACTACACTTAAAAATCTTTATAACAAGCTGTAATATATCCCATCTCAAACGACATTGTGTCGGTTTCAGAAAAACCTTGTGGACATTTAAGCGCACCCAGCGCTATTCCCGAGCCAAGGAACATAATTCATACTTCATCAACAACCCTCATTTCTATGAAGATTTCTAATGATGCAAAATTATTGCTTTCTTCTAATATATAAACCTTTCTTGTTATTTTCTAGAAATTATTCAACAAATTCATTCGTTTCATGATAGAAAAGCAGACAAAAATGAACAAACGAATTGTGCGTAGGATAAGTCCCACTTGACCCACTAAAGAAAAGTTTGTTTGTTAATTGATCAGGAAGGTTCTTTGGTGCTATGCATATGTGAAATACGACAAGTGCTAGAGTCAAGTACTTCAGATAATAGCAGCCACGGGACAACAGTAGTAAACTTAAACTTATTATATTTTTTTATCCCACCATGGCTATGTGTAATCCTTTTCTATCCAAATGCTTTTTGTTCAACACCACTCATCGCCATAGACTATAGTTAGCGCGGTAGGCAGATTTCCTATCCTCGATTTACCATCATCTATATCTTAACTAAATAAATAGGGTACAAGATATACCTTATTAATAAAACACAGTTTTAAACCGTCAGATCGCACTAAAAGACTATGCACGTGAGATTTTAATAGAATATAATTGAAAATTTAACGGTTAAAATTTGATTCCTATTTATCAATATTAGTATTATTTAATGGGAGCTTTTACTTTAGGACTTGACGTTTTTAACTACCGATAACAACTGTTGTTTCAATTAAGTTTTAACGGTTTGATTTATGATTATCACATTAAAAGTTTGCAGCATGCATGCGACACAAAATTATTCCAATTAAAGATTAGACCATTCAAAACTTAATCCGACAGTTCTTACCGGCAATTAAAAATGTCTGTTTCTGCCCTGGAAATTCTCATTTTAGAATCTCACTGCGAACTTGTGTAGTTATTGCCACTTTATGTAAAGTAAATTTCAGATTATTCATCTGCCCCCACGTGAACCAGCCTTAGCTTAAGTTTAAAGGAAAATGAATCCCTCACTTTTAGATGGGTCTCCATCAACGTTGATTTTAATGAGACATGAATTGTCTTTTTCTTTTTTCGCATTTTCCTGTCTGAGAGAATAACATTTCATTTAGTTCAACGAAAGCATCGATCATCTCGTCAACTAGCTAAGGGATATGGGTGGGTCGTTATCAAATACCAACCATAGCCTTACCTCATCACGCGAGTAGCAATTATATTTTATGCATATTGTGCCTTAATAGTCAAAAAATCAGTGCTAGTGCCCATAATATGGTCACGAGGGGTTCCCACTTCTATCTTTTCTTGTCCTTCTTATAACAATGAAATTACTAATATTAAGTGAGTTTTTTTCAATCAAAACTTTTTCCTTACGCATCACTACTTCAAAGAAACTGCTTTTTTGAAATAAAATAAAATGAAATAAAAATAAAAATGGAGCCAAGACTCAATCCTAATTGGTTTCTTATTTCCCCTTTGTTATCAATTTATGGAAAGACAAAAACACTTTTCTTGCGTGTGTAAATTTTCTTCTTAATTAGATCAGAACCAAGGAAATTCAAACTAATAATTAAACATAGGATTTCAATTCAATATTACTTCGCAATTAAACACATCTATTTTTTTTCATTAATTAACTAACTAAATAGTATAGGATGCATACATACGCATATGCACATAATTAGCCTAAATTGGACCTTCAACACATGTACATGCACACATAATATTATAATAAATAACAATTAATGAAATTTCATTAATTAATTAATGAGAATATTGTAGTATTAAGAAATTAAGAAAGACTTACGTGTAAGTTCCATTAGCAAGCTCAATCAAAGCCGCCACCGCGACTCGGCGGCGGTGAGCCACCTCCGACGAGGCCATGGTGACCAAAACCGGAATAACACCGAGCTCCGCCACCAACTTCCTCAACTTGACGTCCTCTTTGGCCAAACTCTGAATCTCCTTAGCCGCCATCTCCTTCTCTTCCCCGCTCCCAAAGTGAAGCCTCTTCACCGCCCTCTGTAGCCCCGCCGCCACGTCATCACCGCCACCGCGACAACAGTCAACTTTTGTAGTCTCCATAGCCTGAAGTACGTCGCCCTGTACTACTTCAACGGCGTCGTCGCGGCTGCAGTCTTTGATTGCCAGTTGATGATGATCATGATCGGACGGCGTGTATCGCTTGCGGCCAGCTTTGGAGCGCAGGAACCGTCGGATGCGGTTGAAGAATCGGAGCTTTATGTAAGAGTACAACCATATAGGAGAAGAAGAAGAAGAAGAAAAACATGACGATGAGTGAGACTGAGACATGTTGACGTTCTTGAGAGAGAAAGAGAGATAGAGAGAGAGAGGTGTTGAAAAAACTGGTGTTTAGGTGTTTGTTTATTTATATGAAATAATTCTCCGAAAACGTCTGACTTTTTGTAGAGGGAGAGAGAAAGAGAGATAGAGAGAGAGAGGTGTTGAAAAAACTGGTGTTTGGGTGTTTGTTTATTTATATGAAATAATTCTCCGAAAACGTCTGACTTTTTGTAGAGAGAGAGAGAGGAAATAGAAAGTTTGTGCCTATTGTGGGATTATAAGTGGGACAAGACAAGGGCTTTGGGAGCTTATAAACATGTAGAAGCCCAAAGCACGTGGAAAGAAAATTAGTGTCACGTTCTTTCACCGATTTGAGTTTAGAATTTAAATTTTATTATTGTAAAAAATTCTTAAAAATAATTATATTTAATTTTTTTATTATAATAAAAAACTCTCATATAAAGTCACATCTCAACTCGAATTAACAAACTAAACGGATATATATTACTAAAAACAGTTTTGTCCCTCTAAACTAGTGGACCGACCATGGCATATATATAAGAGAAAGAAGGCAAATACTCAATGAGTCCGGACTTTTATTTTAATATTTTTTTTCTGTTAATTATATTAATTGAAAATGTATTAATTAAGAGTAATAAGTAGTAAAAATTTAGACTCACGATCAATAAATTCAACAAATTTCTCATATATTATATATATAAGATATATATTAGTTAAGGGAGATCTTGAGATTCGTTAATTAGTACACATTATTAATGTTTGAGACATATATAATTTAATAATCATTTTATTTGGGTTTGGTCTAGTTTAGGAAATGGTTAGTGGGGAAGTTTCTTGGACGTGATCATCAAGATCAGACGGCTTATAACAACAGACACTCGTACGTTAGGTTCCTAGAGTACACATAAATTACATGTCTAGACGTGCCAATAACTATACCATGTTGGTTTGTAGGTTAACAATTATTTTAATTAATGTATTTAGATTTTCTTTTAATTTTTATTTATTTATTTTGTCCTGAGATTTGAGAACCATGCACATTTATGTGGTATTTCCTTCGAAGGGTCAAATTTTGATCTGATACGCACACCTGGCATGCATGCGGTGAAATGGGGCTGCTGCCATTTTGTTGGATCTACTCAGCTCTTTAATTTGTTTTCAATAAAGTTTTTTTTTTTAATTTCTTTTATTGGCTAGAAAATCTACACTTTGGACCTGATTTGATATTGTCACATGCTTGGTTGTTTTTGAAATTTGTCTGCAGAAAGGATCAACATACATTTTTATTCATATAACAACATGTAACTGATAATTAATTATCCATTTTTATTCATCAAATGCAATACAGCTGCATTATATATTGAGATTTGTGCGCGGACATATTAATTAGCTAGCTAGTCATCACAAGAAATTATATACGTTAATAATTCATTTTCATTATAGTACCCTTAATATTATAACACATTAATTAAGGTTCAATATTAAAACAAATTATTCATTTAAAAAATTACCCCGCTAGGGTTTCTTCTCCTCTATCCTTTGTTTTTCTTTGCGCCGTTTAGCAGAAAGTTTCAAAGGGCCAAAGTCCAACGCATCCCTTGGGCTTGGCTCCGGACTCCCGGTCCGACGGAAGGCGGCTTGAGTGGTGCGGCGTGGATCCTCCCGGCGAGGGGTCGACGGGGCTGTTGTTTGGGTGGGAGAAAAGGGAGCTGGTGATGAGAACATAGCCATAAAAGTCAATCCGGAAAAAAGACAATCAACCTTAAACGTCCATCAAGCCATTGCATGGCCAACTTGCATATTCCAAGAGGCTTAGGCGCAATTTCTAGCAAGGGACCAAGTCAAATTGCGGATAAAGAGTTGATTTTATCATAATTCTATCTTTTTAGGTTTAAGTTTCAATTTAAACATTTAAATTCCATCTTAGGCGTTTAAAAGGGAAGGAGTTGGATTTAAATTTGGATTCCTTCCTAAGGGATTAGCTTTTAGGCGTGTTTTATCTTATCTTTAGGTCAAAATTCGGATTCCTTCCCTAGGGTAAGATTTAGGCACATTTTATCTTATTTTTAGGGTTTATCTTATTTTAGGCTTCTATCTCATTAAGGATAGGATATGACTTTTCAATTTTTAAACCTTTTCAGCTTATACTCGGCTATTTAAGGCTGAAAAATAAAAATTAATAAAGTTTTTGATGTTTATTCACTTTGTGGGATATTCTTCTTGAGTTCTTGAAGAACGATTCCGAACTTATCAAGGTTTTCCTTGTGGCGTTGAACCCGACTTATCAAATGGATTTTCCATACTTGTTTGTGGCGTCTTCACCATACCAAGGTTCTTACTTTGCTAAGCAACGGGTTGCGGTTTCCATCAATTCTTAAAGATCTTGGATCGTATCCCATATTTAGCTACGGGTTTCATCACATTGTTGGCGGAGTTCGTATCAGTTGGTATCAGAGCTTAGGATCATCAGGTTTTGCTATCCTTTTTTTTTTGTTTATTACGTTTTCTTTCTTTATCAAAAAAAAAAAATCGCACATTAGGGTTAGGGTTTTTCTCAGTTAAAAAAAAAAAAGAGAAAACGATTAACCATCCCTTCCTTGTTTTGAGTTTGAGTCCACACCTATTGCTGAATTCGAATTCAACTAGGGTTTTACAAAGTCGAAAAAAAAATTCGGGAAAAGAAGCAACCTCACGAAAACTGTTATAACTTTTGATCCAGTAATCGTTACGGGATGTATAATATATCAAATCAAAGATCTTTTCAAGCCCTACAATCCTAACTAGGGTGGAGCCTGGTGACCTTATTTTGGGGGGTAAAAAAAGCTTGTTTTCAATAGTTTCGGAATTAAAGTTTGAGTGTAAAAAAAAAAAAAATTTCCGTGACAATATTTAAATTCGTTTGGATTAAGTCTTGACTTGATTGACTACTAGAATTCCTTTTCTTATTGTTGGTTTAGTTTTGAAAGAACTAAAAGAAGAATACGAGAGGGAAAAAAAGGCAGAGTGTGTGAGCATATTAGAGGGTAAAAGCCAAAATTAACTTGAGTGAAACACGAGTGGTTTGAATAAGTTAGTCTTCGAGAGAAGCACTTTTTTTTTTTTTAATCATGTCGCAGGAACCAGAAAAAAACACAAGCGAAGAGATTCCACCTACCATTATCACGAATGTGCAAATACATTTTTATTCATATAAGTTATAACAACATGTAACTGATAATTAATTATCCATTTGTATTTCATCAAATGCAATACAGCTGCATTATATATTAAGATTTGTGCGCGGACATATTAATTAGCTAGCTAGTCATCACAAGAAATTATATAGGTTAATAATTCATTTTCATTATAGTACCCTTAATATTATAACACATTAATTAAGGTTCAATATTAAAACGAATTATTCATGTAAAAAATTGGGCCGCTAGGGTTTCTTCTCCTCTACCCTTTGTTTTTCTTTGCGCCGTTTAGCAGAAAGTTTCAAAGGGCTAGAGTCCGACGCAGCCCTTGGGCTTGGCTCCGGACTCCCGGTCCGACGGAAGGCGGCTTGAGTGGTGCGGCGTGGATCCTCCTGACAAGGGGTCAACGAGGCTGTTGTTTGGGTGGGAGAAAAGGGAGTTGGGAGGGGCTTTTCCAGTCTGTGCTTGGCTGCCACTTCTAGGCAAGTCCGTACGCCGGCAAAGTTATGCCCCTTGTGGTGCATTGCAGTGGCCGGAGATGGAGGAGGAGGTGGTATGGTCGCGCTTTTCATTGTAGGCTAGGGACGTGTGGGTGTCTCGGTGTTGCTGCGTTATGAGGGTTTCAGCTCCGGTGGGGTAGCGGCTCCATGGATGAAATGTATTCCCTAGTTGGCAGCGGTGGGTGGCGAAGATGGTTCGTTCTTTTTCCAGTGTTTCTTTGGTTTGCTTCCAGCATTGCGGCTCCCTTACTTACTTGCAGTGGTGGTCGGCTTGTCATTGGAGATTCGGCCAGTGTCATTTGGGCTTTGTCCTTTTGTTGTGATTTGTGTGCTTGTCAAATAAAGGCGTTGATGTTTCCGCCATTTAGTTTTAGTGAGTTTTTCTTGTTTTGTTTGTTTCCAGAGTTGGTTTTCCTAACTTTCGATGTTGTTTTTAGGTCTAGTCCGCAAGTTTTTCTTTGCGGTGTTGTGGCAGGCCCTGGTGCTTTTAGTCTCTCAATCTCATTCGATCAAAGTTATCCACCTACTATTGTGATGTATTTAAAAGAGTCATTTGCGTGCACGATTAGTTGTGTGCCTTTTTAATTTCCTCTTTTTAGAATTCGGTACACGTATTATCCCCTAGAGCGTTTCAATCGAATTTACTGGTGGTTCCAGTCTATGGTTGGGGTTGATTCGCTAAATGCATTGTGGTCTTTTGCGTCTGAATTAGTGATTGTATTTTTTTAATTTTGAATGCAATTTCCATTTAAAAAAATATCAAAACTAATTCGGGTATGAAATCTTGATCATCATATTATTTATAATTATAGTGGAAAGAAACAACAAAATAGTAGGAAATAAAGCTAGCTATACATTGATGCAGAAAAGCAACACCAACAAAACAACCGTGACAAGTTACAATATTTGTACTTTCGGACAAAGTTTCTTGTTTTGCCTGTGAAGTGACATGAAATATGTTATCACACACACAACACATACATATTGATAGAGTTAATTAAAGCTTCTTATTCTTTGTTTGATTGTGGACTATATGTATATATAATAATAAATTGAAAACAAGTTTAAATTTTTTACATTTTCTGTATTTCATCTAAAATAAACCCCTGTTATGGCCAAATATATAATATCCACGAATAATATTTTACGTAAGGAAAAATTTGCTTGTGTAACACGGAAAAAAAAAAGTATAAAAAGGATTGGCACATTATATGCTTCAAACATGTGATGAAGGATTGGTCACATTCCACAAATTGTCCCACGTGGGAACTATACACCACACCATTAATTAGGATTAGGGCGTGGGTTATATATACGTGTGGTTGGTAATTGATGTCTAAGTATGTGTTAAGCCCAAAAATTATAAGAAGAAGTTATATATATGTGCTTCTATGATGTGTACCACAATTGTACCTTTTGAGCAGCTTCATGTCTCATGTTTTTTTTTTCTTTTTTTTTTTCCCAAAAAAAATTTTTTTTTTTTTTTTTTTTTTTTTTTTTTTTTTTTTTTTTTTTTTAAATTGCGCCAATAAATAGTTGGAAATACATTGATAAGCCTGGTTGCTAGCTTTAGATTTATTTATTTATATATAACGACTTCTCTGTTAGCTTGCGGATCATATGAGTTATTGGTAATTAATTAGAAAATAGGGCTCTATCACTTTATAAAGTTGATTTAGCAGTTAATTGTCAATTTATTCCAGTGTATAATCCTTAAAAATAAAAAAAATAACAACAACAATAACTTGTAACTTTTGTATGCGTTTATTACCCTGGCAAATTTTCATCCCTAATTAGGGGATTTCCAAAGCCCCAATAAGAGATTCATAAACAAGAGATTTCAAAAGTGGCAGCTAATTAAAGTGGACTCTATAATATATATCAGGTTCTTACTTCTTGGAGAAACAGCGAAAATTTTGCAAAATCATTCAGTTGGCTTGGCTATATACAAATGCGTGCCAAACTATTAGGCAAAGTGGCACACAATGTCAATTTAGTTCATGGCTACAAAAAGTGGACTCCGTATGTGAAATGGTGTTCTTACTACTTGAGGCAACCCGGAATTTTCCAAAAAGCGCTTCCAATAATGGTTATATATGCAACTAAAGCCACCCCAAGTTCTTAATATTATTCAAAGGGTCATAATTTCCCTTTTGTATAAAAAAGTGCTCACGCACGATATTATTAATATTAGACTTCTCTATAACATATCATCTTCTTATTCCTTAGGGCAGCTTAGGATTTTCCTAAATCTTTCCATTGGGTATCCAAATGCCAACTTGGCATAGCACTAATTTGGTGCCACGTGTCATGCAAAGTAACCTATAAGGTTATTTCCCACATGCTTGTACCATATAGTTGATTACTTCATAATTAGACTCAAAATGGGAATACCACTAACGAATGAGCCATCCCCATGGGGGTGGAAGTATTAGTCAGTCTCTTGATAGGGTCAATTTCCACAATCAACAGCCGCATTAATACCAATGGATATAGAGATAAATAGTGAATGGTATGTTACATATCTCAGTAATCTAAAAAATAAATGCTCTTGATTATGATGGTGAGACAAAAAAAGTGCAAAAGCCACTAGCTTGACCTTTTTGCAAGACTCGGTTGATAATGGCCAATGAACTGTTGCTTTTTCTGCTTAATTAATATATGTCACCCTACAAATTCTTTGAAGCTTCTTTCCTAGTTCCGATTTACATGGAAAAAGGGTTTTTTTTTTCATATGTACGGGACAAACTCAACGCGTGCATCAAGGACAAGATCATATATATATATATAAAGGGTTTTTTTTTTCATATGTACGGGACAACCTCAACGCGTGCATCAAGGACAAGATCATATATATCTATATATATATATATATAGATAGATAGATATATATGTAGGCATAGGTTTAATAGTTTAAGGTTATGGAGTTGACGCGTCGTTCAAACTTCAAAGCATTGAACAACGACAGCTTGAAGTTTGCGGGAAAAGTCTACTACGTTGCCAACTTATGCCTAATGTTGGTTGAAAGAATATATGATCTGATGAGATACGTTAATTTTCCATTCTATCAGTCACTTACCAATTCTATTTGAAATATACTACTTCTCAACTGAATTGTTCAATTCAATACCATATTTTCTTTCTTTTTTTCCTTTTTCTTTTTTTGTTTTATTGGGGGTGAGAAATTTAAACTTTATATTTCAGAGAGAAGTCAGATGTAGATTTCCTATTTGATTACACCCACAACTACGTATCATATATTTCACTCTTTTTTAAAAAAAAAAAAAATATCTATTTCACTTTTTGATTCCTTGGTTAAAGTTGTTTTCTTTAAATAGTTGGGCTTATTACACTGATACCTTGTGTTTTGTTAAAATAACAAAAACACCATCTTAATTGAAACTAATCATGTCAACACTCCTCGACTTTTTATAAAAATTACACGGACACCCCCTCCGTTAGTTGACCGTGAATTGACCGTCAATCTTGACTGTTAAATTTTTTAAAATGCCAAAAATGCCCCTACATTTACCAAAAAATGTTTCTAAGTTGTATATAATATTGGAAAAGACATTTATACCCTTATTTAGCATAAAAAATGAGTTTAGTTAATTTTACACATTTATAATTATAATTTTCACTCTAATAAAAACAAATCTTTTTTTATTTTTCTTTTTCTAAAAATCATTTGTTTTAGTAATGTTCTTCATCCACTAAACTAGCACATTAAATTAAAAACCATTTAATATTTAGTGCATTATTAGGACCAAACTATATTATAATGAAAATTAATTTAATTGAAAGAATAAATTGAATTGGACAATTTTATCCTAATAATAAAACAAAAATATAGTTTAAATTAAACTTAAAACATTAATGACAAAAAAATATAATACGAAAAAATCAAACGCATCAACTTTTTTTAACATATTTTTACATTAACTCTTTTAAAAAAAAATTTACAACACTTCCTAACACAATTTTTTATTAAAAAAATCAAATAAAAAAGAAAGAAAGCAAATTTAACACATGGGTAGTTTTGACATTTTCCACTAAAATTTAACAAAGTTTCATTTATGAGGTGTGGCTGTTATTAAATTCGGCCTATCACTGTAATTTTGATAAAACACAAAAAGTGTCACTGTAATAAGCGCTAAATGGTTATTAGTAAGAGATGGAGCTAGCACAGGATAAATGGAGCCAATATCGATATAAAATAGCCCTGGCTAAATTAATAGATATTGATTTCGATTAAATTTCTATTTCAGTTATTAGACTCACTCATAAAAATTTATAACTTCATCAGTGAGTAAGAAGTTCCGTAAATAACAAAAAGTTGTTTCATTTCGTTTAGGTACATCCCAGGACCAATTCAGTCCAAATCAAATTGTTTTAGTTTGTTTCAAACTTGTGCTTGAGGTTTTTCAAATTGGTAGCCGCATATGTGAGTTAGAAAAAGCACAAAGACTTGTTATAGGGGCGCTTTTGACTGATCTTGACCATTCCGGATAGTAATTATAACTTGCAACACACACTAACAATGAGTCCAATCTCTACCTTTCGTGTTTAACAAAAGATATATAATTGGTATTCGTTTGAATAGTTTCGTCAAATTAATTGAGCTGAAAAGTAATGTATAACTTTCTATGTTGAAGAAAGATGAATATTAAGAGACGTTTGATTCATAAATTAGAATAATGAGATTAGAATTATTTTTAATTTATGTGTATTTTTTATAAAAAAAAAATACTGTAATGAATTACGAACCATAATTTAAATCGGGGTACGAATTTCTTAACTAAACAACTCCTTATTGATTGAAAAAATCGTATATAAGGCTTCCTAGAACTTGTATATGACCTGTGTTTGCATTGACTGATTGACGTGCGAGTACTCCAATATGCTAGTCTGATTTCCTTTGAACCTTTTTTTTTTTTTCCTTTTTTAATCCCTGTTTTGGATGCAATTTTCAAAGGGCTGCTCACGATGAGCTGGAACTTGAAGGTTTCTAAAACATTTTATCGTTAAGAAGATTCAAAAAGAGAGAGAAAAGGGACATTCATTATCCAAAATTCTAAATTGTGAAGTTTTGTTGTGTAATAATGAAAGTGGTTTTTCCATTGTAGGCTATTTGTTTAGTTTGCTACTTTGTTAAGTTGTAGGTGGTCCTATTGATATAAGTTTTTTAATCACATTTGATCTTGATTGCGCTTTATCTTTAATTGTAGTGGTTTTATAGAAATAATCATTTATGTCTGTTTTTGATAGTACCATTTAGTGCCGGAACCTTTAAAAAGGCAGAATGGTTGGGGATGAAAAAAACAATTATTGCATCAATCGTGAATGGATAGATTCATAGCGTGACAAGATAATAATTAAGATAATATTAAACTGACAAAAGCCTAAAACGGGTAAAATATTCACTATGACTCTTTGCCCTTCATTTATTTTGGGACTTCACAAACCGTAATGTATTGGTATTACGAAAATTGATGAAATTAAAAATCAAAATTTTAAAACAAAAGTATTTAAGATCTACTACTATCATAAAGAATGCAAGAGCTCAGTAGTGCCGATCTCATCTGTTGATTCAGATGATCGTGATGAACCCGTACATCACAAAGGCACAAGAATCGTCATGGCCCTGCACCAACTTGGGATCGAACCCGGTCTGTACCGTGGCAGTATACTATTCTACCACTAGACGCGACCGGTGCGTGGATGACTGAAACGTCCAAATTTAAAGTTTTTAACTAAAATTCCACCCCTCCGCCCCGCTCCTAGGGCTGTTCATAAACCCGAACAACCCGCAAACTCAACCCGCCCCGCCCCAACCTAAGCCGAAAAAAGCAACTCGTAGCATTATTTTTAAATTTGCGGCTCATTATACCTCTGGCTCGAAGTGTTTGGGACAGATTGCGGGTTTGGCCCATAACAACCCGCAATCTCCAACCCAACCCGCACAACATACCCCCAAGCTTTCGGCCCAAGCCGAACTGCCCAAGTTCTACCCTAGGCTCACTAACATTAGGGTTCACAATCTCATTCTCGGTCTCCCCTCCCGTGAACCCCCTCTTCTTGCCTCTTCCTTTTCAGTTTTCCCTCTTCTTCCCCTCCCGTGATCCCCCTCATAACTCTCTCCTCATTGCTCAGTCCTCTCGGCCGCCGTCTTGTCCACTTTCTCCAGTGCTCTCTCGCCGGACTGATAAGGATGGCTGCTATTTCTATTTAATGATGAAGTTTGAATATTATATTAAACTTTAAGTCTTTGATTTTTTGAATGTTGAAACCGACTACCCAACCCACCCCACACCGCCCCAACCCAACCCGAACATCGTTGGGTTGTGAAATTTTTCTAACATCGTTGGGGCTAAATATGTGCAACCCGCACCTTTTGAGGCGGAAAAAAAAAATTCTACCCCGCACCAACCCAATCCATGAACAGCCGTACCCGCTCCCCCAAAATCTTCACAGGATAATTGACTGCTCTCTTAACTATAGAGCTCTAAACTAATATTCATAAACTTGTGTTTTTTAACATTGAAAATGAAGGCTTGGAGCATGATTCTAATTCAAAGAAATTTCACGTCAGTTCACCCGTCTTTTGATGGGCAAAGATGATAAGCTACAAATAGACTCTATTTTTTTCTTATTTTTTTTAAAAAAGTTATAAATTCTAATTTCTACCCATTGACATAATGCCAGGAAAAAGGGAGAAAAAAAATCATGGTTTAGTTGGAGAGCACGGCTATGACTTTTAGCAGCTTTGGGAAGGACAAGACACTTATAGTTTTTTTCTTTTCAAATTTTTTTTTTTATAATAGTACCAAAAAACTATGCCATATCTTGGTCGTTACCACCTATTTGAATTCTCAGCTTTACCAAAACAACAAATTTGGCACAGAGTTTGGTTAAAGGATTCTAACCATTTTAAAGGATATGGTAGGGCGAGCCATGGAAGATTGTTGAAGTTTGGTTCAAAATTGATCAGCTTGGCATGTCAGCATAAATCAAGATTTCCCTATGCCAAGTCATCACGTCAATCACAAGTTTGTTACTGTGGGTTTGTTGTTGAGATGTGATTTTATGTGATAATTTTTTATTGTAGTAAAAAAGTTAAATGTGACTGTTTTAGAGAGTTTTTTACTATAATAAAACTCAAATTTTAAACTCACATCGGCGAAATGAACAAAATCTCTTTTTCAAATCAGTTACTGTAAGTTTTCTAATTGGTCGTATTGTATAAATGGGCAATGAGAGAACAATTGAGTGCACGATAATCAAGGTTGTAGTTGGGACTTGGGAAGTGAGTTTTTGAGAGTGTTTCTTAATTTTTCTTCCTGGTTGTTGTTGCACAGCGGAAAATCTTGTAGAAACACACAAATGCTTTAGTGTTGTAATTCTCGTTGATTGATTAGACTTAATATGAACCACGTAAAAATCTCATATTATATTTCTGATTGTTTGTGTTCTTAGTTTTGAGTGAGTTGCTGCAAATCTTGGTTGGTTGGTGTTCGATCGAAGAACCGTTACAGGTTGTATTGGTTATTGTTGTTCAACATAGATACTACGACAATGTTGTCAATTGTGGAAATTGAATCAGAGTTTGACATTGCTAACACTACAATTTCTACTTATTTCCAGTTGCCCTTCATGGCTTGTTTCATGGTTATTCTGGCATCTATAACTTGGGGCGTGAATAAACAACGTTTACAGCTTACAGAAAGAGGTTTTGGATAAACCGGGAAAACATGAAAAGACAAATAAGAAAATAAAGAGGACTGGAATGTCATCATATCATATACTAAAAAGGAGACATTAGTCACAGCAAAAAGCTTCCTAAAAACGAAGCAGAATTATAAACTTATGTCCTACTTTGTTTGCGTCTCTTGTAAACTAAACGTCACATTACAGACATTATCTAAAGTAATCAACTTCTTTGTATCACGCATTTAACAAAACAACCTCCCAAGTCAACCTGTTCTGCCCTTGTCGTTTTACTCCAGCTTACCATTCCTTTAAGAAAACAAAATGAAAGATCACCAATTCTTTCACAATTTTTCCTTCTAGTTCTCTTGCTGTTTTCTTACATGCGCTGAGACCAAACTCTTAACGTATGGAAACTTGAAAGAATTCGCATCGACACTGTTGGCAAAAATACTAAGCTTTCGGCTGCGAACATTGTAAGAGATCAACGATCAATAGTCACCAACCATCCATAAGAAGCTCAACACCCTTCCAGAATGTCAACGGAAGCAGAATACCAATTAGAGGATAAATTGTTAGTTTTTTGGTTCAAGAACAAGTGCCTCTAACACCACCAAAAAAGCAGTTATCCGTCACCCATATTTCAATGGATGTCATAACTTCTCTATCTTCGCAATAGTGAAACAAAGCAACTGATTCAGTCCACACGGTAAGTTCAATCCGATTCAAAATTAGCTTTAGTATCTCATTTAATGTCGGAAAATTACTTGGCAAATTGTAAGCTATGAACTTCCTCATCAGTTACAACAAACGCGATTATAGAGTACCTGAAATGATCCACAGTCCAACAAAGAACTCCTCCGGAAAATATCTGTGAATTAACAAGCCAAAAGCTCCGTATTTCATAATCAATCGTGCCTCCCCAATGAAAACTAATCTCCCTCCAACAATCATTGTGTAAACTGTAAATCTCCGCTTTGGAATCATAAGACTTCGAATCATACCCGAAGACAACAAACTTGTAATCGTCACTTCTACAATCACGTGACAATCCTGCTCCTTCTGATACAAAGTGATCACAAAACATCAGTTTTGGAAGAGATCTGACTTCCTTGATCGTTGGATTGCATAAGAAAGGAGTTGCTATTAGTGTCTCTATAATCATACGTAAAACAGCAGATGAGGCTGTCACAATGAAGGTGCCGCGTACATTGCAAGTTCACGTCATCCAGCGACCGTGGTAAAAGGAAATCCTCGGTAACACAGTGAAAGTTGTCATTGTTCTCACCATCGTCATTTCTATCAAATAAAGTGAGCAAATAAGGCGGTTCAACCCATGTTTGGAATGAAAGCAAAGGACGTATGTTGTGAACATGTTTTACTGCGAATTTCTGGTCCCAAATGACGGATTCATGAAGGTGTAACAAAACTTACTCACAAGCTTGCATCGGATCAAACATTGCGGACGCACCCACAGCATGATTTCCATTAACACATCTTCTGGCAATTTCTCCATCGTCACTATTACTGCTTCATATCAAGATCAAGATTAAGTCTTCGAAAAAACACTTCCAAATTTTCTATTTGTCAAGCAAAAATCATTGAAAATTTAAGCTTTCAATCTAATATAACAATAAAGAATCAAACTTGAACCAAAAGCTAAATTAAAAAACGTACATAGACATAGAATCATTCTCAAACAGAATAAAACAATTACTTTTATTTAATAATAAAAAAACGATTACTTTTAGAAATATCTCAATAATTTGATAATGGTTTTGTGGAGAGAGTGAATGAGAGGTACAAATGGAGGCTAACCTTGAGGACGAGTGAATCGGCAACTTTCAGAAAGTACGTCGTTTTCGATGGGCAGGGCTTCGCTTTTTGCTTTTCGAGGGAGAAACGCAATGTAAAAAGTTGTTGCTTGCTGATCGTAAAGGAACAAGAAAGATGAGAACTTCAAGAACTGAGAGAGAAATCAATGAATTGTATTTCATTAAGCGTTTGTTTGACGCGTTCAAGTTTTGTGATTCGAATCAAGTTTACGTTTTCACAAACGAAAAGAGTCTTCTATGGAACCAATCACTGAAACCAAAGTAAAATCAATTCTTTCAGCTTTATTTACGTCATTCAGTCAGAGTAGCAGCAAAACGCCAGGTTAGATTCAGTTTTAAAATGATGTGGGACAACTCTAGTTTAATACAAATTTGAGAACATAAATTGCTAAAGGTTGCTCTCCTAAATTAGTTTTTGAACAATTGAAAAAAAAAAAAAAAAAAAGGTATTATTTGCAGCAGAAACAAATTGTTAAAAGAAACATTAGATTTCGACACAATCGTCGTCATCAACATCCGTGTCTGCATCCCAGTCAAGTTTAAAAGAGAAAGCAGATTTCATCAATTCTGTCAGCCCGGTAAGATCCTCCAGATAGGTCGGATGGTTAATCGCTTGGAGAATAAATTCCATTCCCCTTTTCCGGTATTCCGATACTACCTGAAAAAATCCATAACAATAAACAAAATTAGGACAACAAAGAAAAGCAATATCAAGCAACTATAAGTCCTAGAAAAGATAAGCTTGAACATAATGAAACAAATGACTTCGATGCACATTGAAGTATTAGAACTTGTGTATAGTAAACGCAGAACTGGCATTCGCAAGAGCAATTATAAGGGAAACTATACACAAGTTCCCTTATATATAACAGACATTCGCAAGAGCAATAGTTTCCCTTATAATTGCTTAATTGGCTTTTAATCACCATGTTTCAAAGCATTAATGGCTCCAGCGATCTAGAAAATGCATCCAAAATGGCAACACACTGAAGAACTAAGCAGCTATAAGTGGCAAAACTTACAGTGCCAGAACAAGCTGTGCAACTATTTGACGAATGACCAACAAGAGTCATCTGCGAAAACTGCGAGAAGGAACCTCGGATTTGATGGGGCAAAATACCAAGAGGCATCTCACTACTTCCACTATTGCTAGAGCTTGTAGCCTCACCTTCTGCAAATATCCTGTAGCAACAGTTAACCATCAGGATGCTGAGGTCAACTATAGAATGGATATAGAGGCCACCACTTAGCTCTTGAATGCATAAACTATCTTCCTCACATTCAAAACATTGTGGAACTATCAGGATTTGCTGCATATTTAAAGAGGACTTACCCACGAGGGTGATGCAGAATCCCTACCAGGAGCTCCACTGCAAGGGCTGAAGCAATTGGAGCAAGCCCTGGACGTGTAACGGTGCATTGTTGGTCCAAAGTACGGTTGGCAGTTGACTGCACAAATAATATGGGACACCACTTTAGAAATTGATAAAATAGTTAATGCATCAGATATTGCAAGTTAGAGGTTTACATCAACAGGCGCAACGACATCATTGCAGAAATAACAACCTAATCTCTGCCTCTCATCTCTACCACCAAGGTCAAGATTGCCCAAATCAGTAGATAAAGCATTCACAGCTTCATCTTTCAAGTCCTCGTTAGAGCTAAAAGGGCCTGCTCCATGGCGCATAACCAAGAAGCTATCAAATCCTAGAGCTGCAGTTATAGTAATCTGCAAAGAGTAGATGAACAAAGAAATATTAAAATGAATTAGTCACAACTTATCTTACATAATGTAAGTAAGAAATAGATACTCCTGATCATGATGCAACTCAAGTAATACCAAGGATCTAGAAACGGCATTGCAGGTAGATGGAAGATAAGAAAATAGACCTTGTCTAAATTGGCACATAGAAGTGAAGGAAGCCACCGACTTTCCCTTGTATCAGTTAACAAGAAAACTACATCATGAGAATCAATGAGATCATGCAGGGTTTTACAAGCATCAAGAACACCAAGCTCTTCTTGGCTAGGAACAGGATGCCCAGGCATTGGTATAGCCATCACAATACCCACTGCTTCCTGAGAAAAGAATTAGAGGAATGGGCGCAAACTATAAGTAAATCAATTTATATAATAGTATCCTCCTTTTTCTATGCTGGGCACAATGCTTTCCAAAGGGATCAAACAAATTACCACAGTTGGAAATATTCGCTTGAGACTTCTAACTGCTGCAGTGGCTTTGAGTTCACCCCCATTGAGGCAATCATCCAATGTATACAGGGATTGCCTTAATGGATTAGACATAGATACTCTACCATTGTCAAGCAATGTAATCTTCCGAACACCCCATGCCTAAAAAAAATAACTTTTAACTTTTAATCACTTTTGAAATAAAAAATGAAATCCGATCATAATCTTGAGCACTCACCATGAGCATACGAGCCACCTGACATCCAAGTGTGCCAGCGCCTAGGAGAAGACACTTGAGACCAGACAAAATGTCCAAGTTAAGAGAAGGCAAAGCACGCCATCTCATAAGCTTCAAATTCAAATCTGCAGCGGATTCAGCCAACCTGAAAAATTTATCCAAAAACTAAGAGAAAAGTGTAACAATATCACCGAGGAGTAGAAAGTTCCAACAGGCCGCAACTAAGTAAACTGATGATTGGCTGGATAGACAGACAAAATACCTATTTGGATCCATAGATTTAGCAAGGCTAATGCATCGAGGTACCATCTTCCCTCTGTTAAGTTTCCCTCTGTTAAGTTCCCATCCTACTGCATTAGGAATAAATTGACGATCTTTCCAGCCTAAACAAGTTACAAATGTTAGAAAGTGTTCTGCACATTGCAGAGAGAAAATTAATCAAGCAGAGTTGTTTCCAAACATCCAGAGCCCTACCTTGTGGAACTGCAATTACAGCTTCACCAACAAGGGATGACCCTATATCAGCAAAACCACGATTCTCTCTGTAGCATAAAAATTGAACTGATGTGAGATCCCATCTTGAACAAATGAGAGCAAGGAAGTTCCGAAGGGGCCAGCCAGGATTGTTTGGAAGATGGCATGGATCGTAAAAACCAAAGAGTAACTGGCAATAGCATTCGCAGCAGCTTTAGCAAATATTTATTTTACATTTAGACAGCTTATTCCAGTTTCCAATGGTCCATTATGTCATTTTTCCAAATAACTTGAGAAATTATGTGGACAGACCTTATGATTATCACCTTGACATGTCACCCAATCCTTGAGATGCCTGATAGTCGCATGAGAATTCGGATCGATATCAATAAAAAAGAATGGAACATCTGCCACAGACTCAATTGAGTTAGAGTGGAGAAGAATCATTCTTCACATGTTTATATTTAGCTACAATAGCATTCATACCTGGAATGTGTCTGTGAAAGCGTGCATATAGTCTATTATACAAAGATAAGTAAAACACACGAACATTTACATACACGTACTATACATGAACAAGAACGCATTTACCTGCTGTTGAGCTTGAGTTCCGCCATGCATTGCATGCTGCTGAAACGGATTCTGCCTAAATCACACAACAATAATTCACATTAAAATTTTAACAGTAACCCAAATAGTTGGCTTCCAAATAAACTTCATATCTTGAGCACCTCTTCTGAGCTAAACCATTGCGAAGCTGGCCTGAGATCAACCAAGGTTGCTGGGGGGTCAAGCACCAAGGCAGGAAAAGCAAACCAGTAATGAAAGGTCCATTTTTTCAGGTCGGCAAAAGAGATGAGAAGGAATCTCGAAAGCACAGAACTATCCTCTATAGCTTTTCCAGAATGAATGTCCTCCCAAATCTGACAACCACCAATACGTAAACCAGAGATACTGAGGTCCAATATCGCATTTGATCTATCATAAAATCCCACCAACCAAAAGCAAATTTTACCAATTATAAACGAGATAATTCCACAACACACAAACTTTAACAATTAGCCTTTCTAGCAATGCTCTTACCTTCTTTGCTTCTTCCTTTAACAAGCTCGTTCTATCAAGTGTGTGAAAGCTTTCAATCGTATTTGTGTTGTAAAGAATGCCAGGGATGGCGCATCTATTCCGATTTCCATGAGCTGTTGATGATTGTTCACCCGATTCAGACGGCAAAGACTCAGCTAAAAGAGTCAAATGGTTTGATACTTTAGAATGTGAGCAAGGCGCATAGAAACCTGCCACATATAGTACGTCAAAACCTCAGATTACGGAGCTAGTGAACTTAATTACGAATAACTAACATTTTTATACCGCTAAATTCAAGAACTCTGTACCACAATTAATATTATGCACAAATTAAAGTTGGGATTTTCAATTAACTAAATTTATGAAAAAGATAGCTCAGACCCGTCTAAACCCAGTAGTGAACTAAATTAGGGGATAATCAACATTCATTAGCACTAAAAATTCAACAACTTTGCATCACGCTTCACACACAAATTCAATTTCAGAATTCATACAGACAAAACCTCAAATAATTGATTGGTTTTCGTTACATAATCTAATCTATTTCAGCTTAAAATTCAAAATTCTGCCTTATTTCCTATCACGCAATCTGAAAAAGAAATAAAAAATAAAAAATAAAAAATAAAAAAAAAACTTATTTGAACTCCAAGGCTAACAATCAAAACAATTATTTTCATACAAAAAAAAATACAATTATTTTCAAAAATGGAAAAAAAAAATCAATTCAATTTCTCTATGATCTTGTCGAAAAGGGGTAAGGCGAAAGAAAAAAAGGTTAAAGGCGAACCAGTAATGGGAATGGGAGAGTCGTCGATGCCAAGCTTGTTGAGCTTCAAAGAAGAGAGTTTGTGCCAGAAACCCTCGTCGACTGCGCTCTGAAACGGTGCGAATTGTAGTATAGATCCCTCTCTTTGCTCTGTATCCGCCATTGATGCTTGCTTCAATGCTTCTCAATAAAATCGCCTTCAACCGTTGTTATAATATAGACGCGCCTAAAGAATAATTAGTTTGGAATCAGGTTAAAGAAGAATCAGAAGATTCCTTTTTCGATTACGCTGTTCGAGCAATTAACAACCATGTCAGCGCTGGAATTCGGTCTCTTCATTTAATCAATTTGAAATTTTAATTCTAATTTTATTACGATTAAAATTTTTATAAAAATTACATTTAATTTTTATTATAATTAAAAAATTTTAAATAAAATTATATTTCAATTTAAATTAAAAATTTAAATACTTGAAAGCATCTTTTTATTTTCTCTCTTTTTACTTTTATTTGTTTTTGCTAATAATTGAAAGCTTTTAAAAAAATAAGTCTTATATTGAAAGCTTTTTTTTTTTATATGTAAAGGTTTTTTTTTTAAATTAATTTTTCTTGTGCTCTTAAACTTTGCCACCAAATATCACTTTAGGTCACCGAAAGTTTACTTTTGTGGGGGAAACTATACAATTGTAAAGGAAATCAGGGACCATAAAAGGCTTATAATTCAGAGAGCTTTTTAAAAAAATTAGAAAAAAATATTTTGATACTTTATGTTATAGCGAAACATAATTAATATCATGTGTTTTAATAATATTAAAATAATACTTTTATTTTAAAAGAAACGTCATTTTGGTTCCTTGACACTTATTTTTAAGACATAAAATATCCATTCTATCATTCTAAGTAATTAACAATAAAAAAAACTAAAAAAATAGAGAATTTATCTTTAAAAGTACATAAGTCTGGACCTTTACCCCTTACTCTTGATAAATACTATTTATTAGTGTAATTATTTGACTAAAAAGGTTATGAATCAAGAGTAAAGGATAAAAATCTTAATCTATACACTTTTAAAGGATATTTATTAAGATTATCCATAAACTAATAATTTTAAAAAAACTGAAAATACTTTAAAACGTGTAAAACTTAAAAAATTAAAATAAGTTAAATTGTTTTAAAAAATTTAACGTTATTAATTTCTATTTAATTAATAACAAGAAAAGTTTAGACATTGTATGTGTCAAGAATCAGTTTTAAAGTACTAAAGGAACATTTATTTAAAAGTGAATATATCATTGTAATATTATTAAAAACACAAGATATCGATAAAATGTTTCACTATAACAGAAGGTATCAAACTAATTTATCTCATTTTAATATAGTTTACTTTTGTATTTAGTAAATAAAAACTTCATACTCTTTTTTAATACTTCATACGCTTTTCGACTTAAACTATTTGTTGATTTTTTTTTGGAATTTCAAAAGGAACAAGATTTTAGACAGCTTGAAAGATTGGGTGATGATAAATTGATCTCATTTGTTAAATTTAAATGGTCAATTACAATTTGAAGTTCACAGTAATTAAACTAAGTGAGCTTTCAATATAATTGAATAAAGAGCTAAATTAAAGATAATTAAAATTTCTTATTAATTATAGTTTAGAAATATGTCATAATTATATCAACTTTCTTTTTATAATTAATTTTTAAAATTTTAAGAATCTATTTTATAAATGTTCCTCTTTTATTCACTAATTTTTAATGTGCCCTAATGTGCTCCTCATTTATTCACCAAATTTATTAGATATAAAGACAAAAAAGGATGCCGGATGCATTTTGAATGATTTTCTATTTTATCTAAGTGTTTTGAACAGTTTGAAAAATCATGGAACACTTTAAAAAAAGGTTCGTGTTTCTAGGGGCATATTTATAAAAACAATCCATATTTTTTATTGCTCATTATCAGGTGTGGGAAAAATATACAAAATTTTGATATTTATTCTCTGGCTTGGTTGAATAAGGTATGAGCTCACAATCAAGGATATGTATTTCTATTAAAAATAAAATAAAAAATAAAAAAAGAACCAAGGATATGACTCATATGAGTATCGATATGGATTGGAACGCTGAGAATTTTATTGGAGCAAATCAGACACATTCCAAGATAAATTTATTGAAAATCATGAAAGTGTATGTGTAAGATTATTATTTTATTCCTGTTTGTTTCAATCTACAAGCATTACAGTGTGATAATTTGGTTTCTAAATTATGTTTTGGTAAATTAGTCTCTAATTTTTCATCCTTTTTTTTTTCTTGACAATTTTTGTCTTTATCCTTAAATTATGTTTTGGTGTGTAAGTGTCTCCACAAATCTGAAATTCGAATATTTCCTTTAATTATCTTGTATTAATAAGCATTGTTGGGTAATTTGCCTTCATTGACGTAATATTTCATTACTCATCTACAAAAAAAAAAAAAAAAAAAAAAAAAAAAAAAAAAAAAAAAAAAAAACAAAAAACAAAAAACAAAAAACAAAACAAGGAGGAGGAAAAGAAAAGGAAGAAGAAAAGAAAAGTGGGGGATTTGCAGCTGATTACTAGGTCATTAAAACAAATTTATTGGTTCGGCATAACAAAATACAATCCTAAGAACACCAAAGTTTTCTCTCAAAACGGCACACAACATACACAAGCAGCTTTAACTTTGAAGAAGTGACTTTATAATACAACCTATGTGTTACTTATGTAGATTTATGTATGGTCTATGGTGTATACCATAATGCCCTTTGTATAGAATACAAATACAACTTGTACACATTGTCACATTTTCACCACCACCATCAACACCAACATCAAATCAAGAGGATGAGCTTGAGGAATCAAAGTAAGAGAATCGCCGTTTTTTACCGGGAAGCATTGTTCTCGGCGAGTATTCTGCCAACGCTGAAGCCTTATCCAGGATAGAACTCAGGATCTCCTGCACAGAAATTGCGATATTTCGACATGTCTCGGCATCATCACTATTCTTGTCTTTGCAATAGGTGAAAACAAATAAGATTTTCAGCCTTTCTCCCAAGGTTGATATTTCAGTCCTGACCATCTTCACTGGAAGTGCATCCAGGGCTTGTCTTATGTCTGACAGAAGCTCTGGCCGGTAACCGCAGCAGAGAGAGGCCTTGAAAGCCGGAGTTCTGTCTCCGACCGCCCTGTTGTTGTTGTATGGTTCCACGTGCACTTGGTCAGCGTCCATTGGTATGAGCAATCCTTTGCTTGCTTCTGCGGCATTCTTCTTCAGTTCTTTCACTTGGAGTATAACTTCAGCTAGTAATGTCGCTTTGTCCATCTGTGAAAAGTAACTAGGCTGTTAAAATACTTGAAAACTAATGGAAAATACAGCTCAAAATTGGCCCTTTAATCGCAATAATATGAGGGTAGTAGGTATAGTTCTTCAAAGTTCTTTTTGAATTAAGGAAACAAATCTGATTATTGCACACAAATATAGTTGCTAACACATATATGGTTTGAGTTAAAATATCGGAACATATGTAATGCAATGCTAAATTATGAACATCCAAAATTTGACATTTAGATAAGATAATGATTCCTTAATATAATGCGAATTTTAATATCAATTTGACATATATTATACTTGGTGTTAAATTTACTACTAAATATAACATGGGACCTTCTCGGGTAAGCCAGCTTACTAGTAGGACTAGTTTTTGACTATTAGATCTGATCAAAATCACATCAGATTGAAAAAGTACGTAAAACATATAGTTTTTTATACAGATTTGACGGCTGAAAAGTAAAAAAACTACCGATAGTTTATTTTTTCCAATCCTATTAGAGAAACTCCCATATAACCTATGTCCTTTACCACTTATGGTCAATGTGTTAACTTCTTCCCTTAATAATTACAAAATTGTCTTTTTCTCTGAAAATTGACAAATTGCTCTTTTGATATCATTTGATATAATGAGGAATCAAACTTGCACCCTCCCAAACTCAAACTCAACCCAAATGGTTATTGTCAAATATAACAATTTGAGACGTACCAAAATATGCAATATTTTTCACTTTTTCTTATGCTAAATATAACACCGACATTGATTCTGTATTCATATACGTATACGTACAAATGTGGCCATGTAGGAACTTGTAAAGCTATGAACAAGACATGTCCACGTTACCAATACAATTATTTAGCATCTAAAGCATCTAACACAAAAAAGAAAAGAAAACGATCCACTTCACCATTAGTTAAGTGTCTGCCTTGATAGCTTCTAAACTCAGATAAAGACAATTTTGAGAAGAACCTAATTTATGCCTACCATAATAATAAAATAAAAGTCTTCACTTGCTCAATCCTACCCGAATTATTATAAAAATAATAATAATAATAATAATAATAAAACAAAAGATGACACTCACACTATAGGTACCCGAAAAAGAACACAATCTGAAAAATAAAAAATCACTCTTTTAAGCTGGAACGTTTAAATATGTTAGTGGTTAGTCTTCTCCCAGACGTATTTTTCTATCTTACATCTCCATTCATAATAAAGAATTAAATTAACAAGTTGACTATTTAACGTATAAATTTCTAAACCATAGATAATTAGTCAAGATGCAGACCTATTGACAGCATCCATAATACAGGTGGCACCGGACCAATTATTCGAAATTTTTAATAATCCAAAAAAAAAAAAAAGACGTGGTCTCCACTCTCCAACCAGTTGCAAGCCCATAAAGACAAAATTAACCATATTATACTATTTTGTAAGCCATCCCTTGGATATACTTCTCACTAGAAAAAAATAATTAATTAAACTAAAAGAACTTTGAGGTTAAAATAAAATAATTCAAACTTCTTAATCAAAAGCCCTACGCTCAAATGAATGAAAGAAACATATATTTTTTGTTCCAACAAGCACGCCATTTCTCTTAAAGGGCTCTGCTTGTTTTCCCCTTGTGATAATTCTAAATACAGTTTAAATCATAACTCTAAATAGGGTTGAATAATTAACAAAACTTATAACCACAACTATTACTAATGCTAAAGAACATATTTCTGAGCTAGGATTATGAAAAATGGCCTTGATTGCCAAAGGTCTCATATGCATGAACAACTAACCATATACATAAGTATCTAAACAAAAAATGATTGATCTTATGGTAGTTGACATTAGTATGTTCTATGTCCAGAGTTGACTTTACAAATCACAAATAATGCTATGAAAATATAATATATATATATATATATGTGTGTGTGTGTGTGTGTGTGTGTGTGTGTGTATTTTGGTGAGTTGACTAATGTCCACAAAAGCAAAGGATCAGCTCTGCTAATTGCAAAATCTCAACACTCATTGCTTATTTTCTGAAGAAAAACGTTTAAGGTTGAAGGAAACGTAAGTTGCTATATTTACATATTGCTTTCCCATATTGGAATTAGGGAAGATACTCTAGCTTATTAAGTATCTTACATTTGCAACTCCAAAAAATTTGGTACTACATTAAAAAAAATCTGGTTGACATTAGTTGCTCCTATCTCCAAAGTTGACTTTACAATAAAATGTTCTTAATTTGGGTAATGTGCGTCTAAATCTCATTTTAAAAGAAGAAAAATAAAATAGTATGGAAGGAGTTGTCCTTGTGGCAAACCTGAGCCTATTTTACATTTGATAACCTCAGGCATATGGAGTGAGAATAATATACCGGATGAGATCTAATAAATTTTCAAAAATCAGACATGGTTGTCAGAATCCAGAATTGATTCCAATCCTTATTAGTCATCAGCAACATCTCTTATCATTACCAATTTATTCGCATTTTACATTTTTGTTCTGAAAACCACGTGATGAATTTATGCTTTACTAGTCTGATACAGTTCTTCTACTGTTAATATATGTTTTAGCCAATCTTTCTTTTGGTTGCGGCAATAACAGAAAATACTCAAAATTCTATCACATCTCTTCACTTTGTCCCACTATTATATATGCAGATGGAAAAACGAAAATATGAAGTTGTAGGCTAAATAACACTCTAAATTAACACCAACAAAAGTTCCCAAATGGATTTAAAAAGTTGAAAAACGATAAAAGTAGTCAAGAACTTCTCTGAGCAAGAAGAAGTTCCATATCCAGTGAATTTTCAGATTGGCATGTATTCACTAACTCAAACTTGCAAATACAAGATTAAAAAAAAAAAAAAAAAAATGTTAACAACTTTGTGACACCAAAACAATCATTTCAAATGGCACCAAATGTTTCTATATTTTGGGTCAGGATTTTCACCAAACAGAGATTTTCATCCAACAAATTTAGCAATATTTTCTATTCCAAATGACTATTCCATAATAATCAAGAATATGAACATAATACCATAACAAAAATTAATAGCATAAATTTTAGTGTCCGTGTGATAATATAATTCGTTATTGATTTATTTATTACCTTTCCGTTGCAGGGCACAAGACCACGAAGTGTAGAGAGATGGGCATTGATTCTCTCTCTCCTCCTCCTCTCAGCCTCGCTGTGGTTCTTGAGAGCTGCCAAAGCCTTCGCCTCCGAAATTCCCTTTTTGCCCACCCTCGCAGGCGCCTTCACAAGCTCCCCTTTCTTACCGTCCAAAACCAGAGACTGCGAAATCCCCGTCGGACCACCATTGACGACAAACCCTCCTCCCGAACTACTCGACGAAAACGGGTCGAACAAACCCGACCGACCCGATCCACTAAAAGAGTAAGAATCCATTCCTTTTTTTCGAAAATTGGGTTTGATTGAATCAACTAAAAGAGAGATCCTTTTTCTTTATTTTTCGATTTTTATTGACCTAAAACTTTGACGATTCGATTTCCGGCGATTACGGACCGGGCGGGCGTGTGGTGGGGGCGAACCAGAAGGAGAGCTTGGATCTCTGAGAAGCCGATTTGTCGCTGAGAATGAAAATGGTGATTTTGGCGGAGACTGTGACTGTTCTTCCAGGTTTGTAAGCCGTGTTCATACCTTCCATTACGCAAAAAGACAAAAAAAATGTTTTTGGTTTGTAAGGGGAGTTTTGGGAAAGACAAGATCAACAAGAGGAGAACATCCACATTTTCTTCTTTATCGTCTTGAACTTGGTCATTTCTCTATATTCAAGAGAATCTGTGTAGGAGAGAGTGTGAAAAATCTGGTTGGGATTTCGATGAAAAAGAGTCAAAGACTAGAAGTACAAGGTTCACAAACAACAAAGTACTGACAATGTTTTTTTTTTTTTTTTTTTAAAGTGTTTTCTTTTGTGTTTGGTTTTTATTTAAACGAGGGAGAGGAAGGAGAGTGAAAACGGAGATTGAGAATCCAGATTGAAAAGTGTGGATGGACAGAATATGGGAAGACAAGTTCCAAACTTATACCGTGACGGGGCTTTTTTTGAAAAGACTAATTTAGCCTTCCTGTGTGAGGTATCTTGATTGTGGTAGGGAATCCAAAATTTCAAATAAAATTTTGTTTTTAATTCGCTAATTTGAGTTTTTAATTCGAGTTGAGATGTGACTTTATGTAAGAGCTTTTTATTTTAGTAAAAAAGTTAGATGTGACTATTTTTAAAAGCTTTTTACTATAGTAAAACGTAAATTCTAAACTCGAATCAATAAATTAAACGGGAAATAAATAAACGAATCTAGATTGTTTGTATTAGATAGTCACGATGGAGTTGCTGACTGGTATTTTAAACTTTCAGACCCATCTTGAGGGTCTTTAAATTTTGATGTGAATCTCACTTTAATCCCTAGAGTTCAAAACCTAGGCCAAAGATGAACTCTTTAGTATAACAGTTTTAATTTTAGTTTTTTTTTTATCACTTAGCATGTTAAAACATAATAAAATATAGATAATATTCGGTTAACATAGTGCTATTTTACATTTTTCATCAGAATCATGTACACATTTCATATTTATTAGTAAAACTCTTTTTTCGTTTTGAGATGTTTTAGAATCCATTTGTTTCGAGAGTTCTGAACTAGTTCTGGATCATAGTTCTTGATTCGTTACATTGTTTTTCTCTCAAAAAGAGATTGAAGATAAAGTTCAAGGATCATTTATAATATTGACCGTTAATATTATATTTTGTATAAAAACGTGTGAATAAGATATATTTAATATGTTATTTTAATTTTGTGATGCAATTCATAATATTATTTAAGATATTATGTATTTTGTTGTAATTATTAATTTTGAAACTTGTAAAAATAAAATTTTAATTTTAAAATAATTTGTAAATGATAATGGTGCCATGATTAAATGAAAAAAAAAAAAATCAATCAATCCGCCAATAGAATCAAATGGTAAAATTTGATATATGTGATAGTTGATCTCAAAGTTAATACTAAGTACATATAACATATGTCAAATTTTGAAACAAAAGGTAGCACTAAATTATAATAAAAGAATATATATAAATCGTAAATTCGAACTCTAGATTTGAACATTTGAGGCAGGGTAAGATATTTTGTTGCCTGTTTTTCTAGCTCAATTGTTGTCCCTCTAATTGAATTTTGACATCTCAGTTAATTAGTACTCAAGTATTTTTAGTGTGTAGTTATATGCATGTGGTCATATTAAATTTAAATGAAATGATAAATGAGTGGTTGAGGGATAAGCAATAATACAGGAAAATTGAGACAATAAATGTGAACTCATAATAATCCCGTGGGTTACATCTACAGAGATAGAATCTCAAATTTACAAAATCTCCTGTAATCAATATATAGTTAAAAACTGATTATTCAAATATTTTCAAATTTCTTGATTGCATATTACTTTTTCTTTACTAATAATTAGTACTTTGTTATTATAAAGTTACATATATACTTTTCAAAGAATCACATGTTAATAACCTATTGAGAAAAGGTTATTAATTTACCAAAAAAAAAATCACCAAAATAAGTCTTTGTTGTATATATTGCTAGTAAGTGGAGGGTGAAGACCTGTCTCTCTCATTTGGCTTACAAAGAAAAACCATCTCTCGCGTGTTTTTTATTATTCAAGATGCGTGTCCAACCTTCATTTTACTTCCTTTCTCTTCGTTCTCAAGCTCTCAAAGAGTGTAAAATGTATTCAAAACCAATAGTTTATGATCTCGTTTATTTCACTGATTCGAGTTTTCAATTCCAGTTTTGCTACAGTTAAAAGTTCTTATAAAAATTCACATCGAATTTTTTTATTACAGTTAAAAACTCACATAAAATCGCATATTAATTCGAATTAGCAAACTGAACGAGACCTATATACATTTCATAATTCATTCATAGTTGTGAACTTGTGCGGTAGATCATGTGACAAATTCCACATGGCAAAAATGTGATTGATAATGTATTAAACAAAAAAAAAAAAAAAAGGTAGACAGTGCTTGCTTGTCATGCCATCATAGAGGATTACTTTAGGGGGGTATCTTTCCTATTGAATGCGAATATTCATTTCAAATTAGACTATCATTTGGAAATGTACAGTACAACGTTTGAGATATATAAAGGAAAATAGTAATAATAATAATAATAATACGTAACGATCTTGATTCTTGCATGAAAGAGGAAGTAACTAGTATATATAATTCGGAAAGGATATACGTGGAAAGAAGTACAAATGTTCAACTTCCAATAATATGGTAAATAGTGAATCTTAGTATAGTACTTCTTTCAAATGTAGACACAAATGTTCAACTTCACTGATTCGAGTTTATAATTCGAGTTGATATGTGATTTTATGTGAGAGTTTTTTACTGTAATAAAAAAGTTAGATGTGACTGTTTCTAAGAACTTTTTACTATAGTAAAACTCAAATTCTAAACTCGAATCGGTGAAGTAAACAGAATCTCGAGTCAAAAAATCAAAGGTTAATTTTCTACATCAAGGATCAATTCGGAATTTCCTACTCTTTTGACTCTCTCTCTCTCTCTGTGTTTTGTTTTTTGTTTTTTGTTTTTATTTTTGGTTGCCCATTTATAACCTTTGTTTGATTTTGGTTGTGACCTCTCAAGTACGGCCAAGGGGCAAAGATTAGTTAGAGGGGGTGAATTATAAGTACACACTACTGCCCCCATCCTTTTTATTGGGGCCAATAGATACGGCTCTCAACAACTTCCCGTTGACATCAAGATTCCAACTTCTAATTAAACAACAAGAACAAAAACAAAACTTTGCTTCCAACCCAATCACTAATTGGGAAGACTTGCTTTTTTAGAGTTTTTATCAAAGGTCTTTGGTTTGTCCTCATTATTGTTTGCCCTATTGAACTGGTCCTAATTGACTCGTTTTCCTCTTCAACCCTTTTTACCATTTTATTTATTTAAAAGTTATATATATTTAAATATTGTTTGGTTGTCTTGTATGTATTAGCAAAAACAAAAGTTAATGATAATTAAAAGAAATGAATTTTTGTGTCTGTCTAGGTTCAACTTATTCAAGAAAAGACAATTAGACATTAATTATTCAGTTTTGTTGGAGAGGTTTTGTTCCTATATTCAGTGGCGGAGCTAATCTTTCACTTTAATGAGGGCGTATATTAAATTTTTTTAATAAATTATCTTAGTAGTTGCATATAAGAAAATATATTTATTTTAGTGGGGGCATATATTATTTCAGTGAGAATTTAAGTGTAAAATTTTAAAATTTTTAAAAATAATGTTTTTTTTTTCAAAAAAAATTGAATGAGGACGGCTGCCCTCGCTCATTTTCAAGTCGCTCCGCCACTGTCTACATCACCGACCCTTTGAGCTTTTTTGTTATTGGCTCTTGATTGACAATAAGTGCACCAACTTTTCACGTTGCAATTTTCTTTTACATGATAAGGATAAGATAAGTAATGACGCAAGTTTGGTACAAAACAGAAGGATTAATTATTCATACAGAATTTGAGCTTATGTAGAGTTCTTTGAATATAGTTAGTTTTTTTGTTAAGATAAGAGAATAAGTGGTTGAGAAGATATAGATTCCAATGGTTTAATTTCTTTTCTAAAATTTGAATGACGAACGTGTTATCCGAAAATGATGATCAGATTATTCATGAAAACTAGATTAGTGAGATATTTCTGCAACTTCTTAATATTTATGTTAATTGCTTAATTATTTTGCCAAATTAATAAAGAAAGTTTTTCTGAATAAGATGTCATCAACAATAAAATGCTTCATATTAAACTCCCAGTACTCCAAAGTTCTAGCTAGCAGACCAATATGAAAAACAGCAATGAAAACCTATTTAATTTACACATTTTTGTTTGGACTAAAGCATATATTATACAATGTAACTCTAACAAAATTCACACGCACAAACACATATCTATATAATAAATACAATAATGAAAAGAAAAGACTAAAGAAAACCATATTAGAGATGTATATGTATATTGGCACAGCATCTAATTAAACTTTTGTTTCTTTATAATTTACCACACGAGAAAATAATTTTGTTTAATAATGCGATAAAGTCTCTCGGTCAATTTATTATACATAAGCTTCAACTTATTTATTTTACTCTAGAAAACAATATGGCTGTTTAAAGTGTCTTTAAGATTGTTTTGTTTTTTTTTTTTTTGTATATTTTTCTCTTTAAACGTTGACAACAAAGTTTTTTTATATAGTACTTTGAATAATAACTAACTATATTTCTCCACTGAAATAACAATTATTTATTTTTGTCAAAGTGTAATGTGACAATTTTATATATTTATGTCGCCTTATGCCAGCTGTGGAGTGATTATTTTAAAGCATGGAATTGACAATCTTGGATGACTTCCTACTATGAAAAAGAGCATACTCATTTTCTCCACCACTCATTGATTATATTATGCACTAATTGCCCCAGACTCTTTCACACGGCCATAAATCCACAAGGTAAAGGGTTTCAATTAAAGTCCAATTAGGGACCAGCCATTTCTTTTTTTTTTTTGTGTGGAAGAGAACAACTTGCTTTTATTCCAAAGAGGCTAAATCAGGCCTTTGACAGCCGCATCCATATTTATCTTCACGTACATCCCGGAGCAGGCCTTTCTCAAGCTTCAAATATATATGTTTTCCCTTGCATCCAAAAATATATTATCTTATCCTCAATGTATATATACATGGACATTTTTTCCCTTTCATTTTTCTTTTTGCTAAGAGTAAGGTGAAAGTTTGAGCCTATCCATCAAGGCTCAGCGGCCTAAATAGAAATTTCGGATCGGGTTGATGCAATCTTAAAAAGGAGAGGGACAGCTCAGTCTGACCATAAACTAAAAACTTTATGGCTGGCCTGACTTAATCCGAAATTTTATAAGGCATTTTTTTAAAAAATCTTTTAAAAAAGGATGTTTGGGCTGACCTGAATAGGTTTTCA